ACCACGTGTGGCAGCGCCGTGGGCGACGACGCCGGGGGAGACGCGCTGGAAGTGCTGCTCGGATCTGCAACAGAAGCGCGCACAGCGCCGTCAGCTCACGTGCAAGGTAGAGGCACAGCCAGCCTAACAAGCTTCGTCTCCAGACAAGACACAAGATTCATAACAATTGTCTTTACTCAATGATAATAATGATAATGATAATTATAATAGTAATAATAACAATAACAATAATGACAATAATAATAATAACAACAACACAGTGAATCCTGTCTAAAACGGAATTGTTACGGGTTCAACATTTTCTTCCGTCTTGTACAGGTTATCTATAAAAACTGTCGTTTCATAAAACGCAATCGTTGAAAGATGCAATACGTTGTGTGAGAAGTTTACTCACCTAAAAAACAAAATTTCAAAGAAACGAAGACGTCCCAAAAAATGCAAAAAAATGACAAAGAAACGCAATGCCATCTAATTAATCTAAAATCTTTCTAAAGAGTAAAAGGAGCATTATTTCATTTAATATTTGTGAGAAAAGATAAATTTATCTGATGATATAAGAATCGGCTGTATGCCTGGGTACTCGTGAATATTCTGGCACCCACATTTAACCTTTTTTTAACCACTCATTCCTAATTTTGACTTTGTTTTCAAACTGACTGACTTGAGTTTTCCCAACATTAAATTTCTTTACCAAGTAATCTTCAATTAATCTAATTTTCTATCCAAGAGTTGAAGTTTTCAATTTGGCACCTGACATCATAAACGCTTATTAAACTCGACTATTCACTCATCATCACACGATTCACACATCACCACACTCAATGATTAATACAACACCTGAAACTCGTCAATCTGAACAACAGTAAACGATTAGGAGGGCTGAATCTAAAGTACACTTTAAAAGAATTGTGGATGGATTGCTCTTCGTGTCTCTCCGTCCTTCACACTTCAGGCTTTTGAAGGTGATATTTCAAATAAACTGCGGATTTCAAATGAGTAGCGTGGTAAATGGTTCGGTAGTACGACGGTACCTGAGAAATCAACAATCAAAGCTGAGTCTCGTGGTGCGATGTCGCCACCGTTACAAATTAATGTTTTAAAACAGTATTTATTTGGCGTCATATTTAGAATTTGTAATGGTTATTCTAAAAAGTATTTTCCGTTTCCTCATTAGGCACGATTCAGGCTCATCCAGGTTCTGTATTAGGTTTTACTGTATAATGACATTCTAGCTTTTAGGAATCAAATTACTCGCTAAATACTTCGTTTCTCATTTACGAAAGAGCAAAAAAATGAGCACGAAAAGAGTTTGTAAAAAACTACGGAGAAAACAATACAAGAAAGGCTCAAATGTCAGCATAAACCATTCACTATTTTAATAATATAGCCATTAATTGACTTTGAGAAAATAATATTATTGACTTTTTTTATTTTATGGAAACGCCTTTTTTAAATAAAAAGAAATGAAAATTAAATGTTTTCAATTTGCAACTAATTTTGAGAAGATTTTATTACATCACCAAAAAGTTAACTTCCATTAATAATACGAATCATGAATAAAAATAAATATATTTTAAGAAATAATTATTTAATTATCAATTTAAAAAAATAATTTACATAAAATATAAATAAAATTATCTCACTAGCTGAATAACTGACGACTAAAACAGGTTTTAGGAACTGAAAACTGCGAGTTTAGTCATTAAAAATCAGGGTTTGTCTTCTCGAAAAGGCTACCAGCAAATGTTTTGATTGTTTATTCGTTGCGCAGTCAATACGTTGCATAAAATGCAATGTAATTTACAAGTGTCGGCAGGAAATGAAGCTCATTTGATTTAGCCGCTGCTGTGACCGTAGGAATTAAATAAAGTGGGATTAGCGGCCGTGAGATTTACAATCGCGCGTGGTGCGTTCTCGAAACGCATGGCTTCCATAATGGCTATGGCCACAACGCAAAGCACTTTCCATAAATTCACAGGATTTCTCAACAATATTAAGCAATATATTCTGTTGGGGGGCGTAATGAACGAAACTATAATACGAAGATATTTAAATGAAAACCTTCGAGCGAAGCGAATTCCATATTCCGTAACCTCGTTTTATATGGAGACGAAGTAGAAAAATACTATATTTAGGTCCATGTTCATTTTAAGAGAAATATTTTACTTGAGGTCTCTGGGTTCTCATATTCCTAGAAGCTCCTAGAGAACGGGCGTTTCTAACATGCATAAAAATAGGATGATGTATGGCTTTGTTTTGCGATGCGAGGACGTAAGCAGGAAACATGGTAAGCATAAAGTGCGCATCTACAATTCCACGGAATAATGTAACACTACACATTTTTAAAGCACCGTGTTGCCCCAGATTAATAATATGTAGCGGTTCAATGAATATACATACGAGCAGTAATTCTTTTTGATACATTGATATCTTCGTTCTCAATTTCTTCATAAAATCTTTTAAAGTTCGGAAATAATATAAAATTTTAATACACATTTTCAAATAGGTAGAAAAAAGGGAAAACCCATTAAAACAGTTTAAAAGGGTGTTATATAATGCCAAAACCCACAAAAAGTGATAACAAATCGCAGACGGAGTCATTAAATTTATTACCATACTTTTAACGTATTTGAAAAAAAGTGTTGGGTTACAATTTATTTTCTGTTAGATAATTTGATGAAAATCAATTACGTAAATTAATAGAACAGGTAACCACAGTACGCACAGAAATCTGATTATAAAATCTCATGTCCCATGTCAATAACCGCTGAAGAGTTTTAGACGCTCGTAATTTGTTTTTTATAACTCAAATTACATTTTCAGACAACCCACCATCTGGCAGACTTCAAAGGTAATAATCTACGTTGAGAATCTTTCCAAAGACAGAAATACATTACTGCCACATTCTTCCAACCTCAACTTTTCCCCTTTTATTCTCGCCCCCCAAGATTACCAGCACTTCCCCGGCAGGGAGCGAGTGCCGACCTTATATTACGCGAGCTCATATTTCCCTACTTACGAGACGCGTCAAAACGCCAGACGAGCGGCGGCAGGTGCGAGCAAAGTGAGCGGGGGCGGGGTGGGGGGCGTGGAGTGAGTGAGTCCCAACTTCTTTACGGGCCGTTTGCGGAGTTATAGCGGGAGCCGCTTTCCGGCAGCGGCCCTGGCCGGCCCACGCGACGGGGAGATTCGCCGCGGATACGTCCATCTCCCGCGCTCGCCCGCTCGGCGACAGCCGGTCACAAGGGCTCAACTGCGCCGGCCCGTGCGGGACTACTGGTCGCGGAAGATGGCGACGGCGACGCACGACACTGTCAGACGTGTTTTTTTGGTTTGTTTTTGTTTTTTTTGTTTGTTTTTTTTAAGTTTGGTGTAACGCGATTGTAATACGCGATTGTAATTGATTTATCGTTTTACACATTACTTGGTCTTGCCGTTCCAGTATTATTTTCCAGATAGTTTTCACACTACGAAACATTATAGCAGTCGTCTGCAAATATCGATAACAATAGCCGTTGAAGTCGAGAAAGAGGTTTTGCATAAAAGCTTAGGTCGAAATGAAAGAAGTTCCGATCTGTGACGAAAGAGTGCACTGAATTCTCGTAATGTGACGAGGGCCTTAGAGTCTGGAGTGTTATTGTTGAATGACAATGCCATGTCCCATACTGCAAAAGAAACCCAAACTCTGATCAAGTCTTTTGCATAGGAGCAGATGGACCACCGACTGTACAGTTCGTACTTGACGCCGAGCGATCTCCACTTGTACCGGTACCTAAAGACTTTCTCGGCGGCAAGCACTTCCCTGCTGATGATGAAGTGGAAGAAACTGTTAAAAGCTGGTTGTCCTCACAGATGGCCGATTTCTATGACTGTGGAATTCAAGAGCTTTTGAGCGATGTGATAACTATTTAAATAAGTATGGGAGTTACGTAGAGAAATAGACAAAGATGTAAGAAATGTAAATCTAACAGTTGTTTTCAAAAAAATATTTGATTTTTTAAAAAATGATCTTACTTTTGGAATAACCCTCATATAAGAAAATTCTGTAAAATAATCGTTTTTGAAGTGACGTTAAGCGACACTAAGAATTATAGTAAGGGTAGCAGATTCAAATTATGCACTACCTCTTCGTTGCAATATAGGAATGCTCAATCTTAATATTTGCTTCTCGCAAACAGTTCTTTTGAAACAATGTTAACAATATACGAAGTTTTTTATGGTGTACTATTTTACAATACAAAGTAAAATAGTATAAACCAGCGTGAAAGTTAAATTCTTAAAATTACCAAGTAAATCTATTAGTTTTTACCGTTATATATGTGTTTTATGTATATGAATAAGTTTAGTAGTTGTAAATACGTTGGTTGGTAGACGGTTAGATAACCTTTATTTTATTTTAATTAACTTATTCCTGCACGCCAAAGGATCTTAGCACGAGCAACCTTTCTCTCACACTCCGATGTTCTCGCAGTGAGTGAGATACAGGGTACCTTACCCAAATGATGGCGTAGAGGTCGCAACGCTAATGCATGTGCCATACTTATTATTCAACATGAGGGATTTTGGAGTCTATTATACGTAAATTACGAGTCCCAATTCCTTCTTATATGTGCGTGTGTTTAATGGGAATAGAATTGATCAGGTGTAAAATAACCTTTTAAGAATTCTGCTTGGGCACTAACGCCATCATTTGCATTGCCGTGCATTTCAAATTTAGTGGGGAATAGCATTTGTGTGTATTGACGTTCCCCAAAATGAAGGCAAATTAGATTCAACTCATTGACATCTAAGCGTGTCTACCTTTGGTCTCACGTGATACATTACAGAACTTAAGTTCACAAGCAAGAGATCGGCCCTCTACCTCCACGATTATGGGCACATTGATATTATCTGTGGGGAACGTAATGACAGTGACGAGTTAAAATA